CTAACGACATGTTTTTTTTTGTAGTTTTTAATACTACAAGGGTGAATGCGACATTTTTCATAGTATAGGGGTGTAAACAGTATTTTATCCTTTTTATGTTTTTTTTCCGTTGGGATTTATAATTGTGAGTAAAATTTTGTAAATTGAAGAGAATTTTTTTTTATAATTCAGGCATATATTAGAGAGTTAGTTTACCTTAGAATTGAATAATTAGATGATAAATGAAGAATTATTTGAACAACAAAAGAGAGTTAAAGAATTACTAACGTTGAAGAGTAACGGCCAACCAAGCTGGGAAGTCACCTGCATGAATAAGAGCATTAGAATGACATAAATGTATTGATTGAATCTTAATAGTGTAAAATTTTAAAATGTTCAAGTGATGAGAAAATGTTCTTCTATGCATGAAAAAATGATGAACAATATTACATAAACATAATTGATTGAGTCTTACCGCAAAAACTATAGTATCGTCCACCAATTGGCCATGGAATGTATACACATTCATTGTTCAAAGGCAAAAACCACGAAACGTCAAAACCATATAGCAGAGCTTTGTGCATAGTTGAAAAGGAAACATTCTCTTCTATTTTAAGTCGCAGTGAAGTCATCACCACGAGGTCTATTTTGCACATATCCTTTACTTGGTGTAAATCTGTACCAAACATTATATATGCGCGACTTCCATTCACGCCATATAATTTTTTGCTGCACAATGAGAAGTAATTTCCAAAAGCTTCGAACCATTGACTGAATATGGGCAGCTCATAAAAATAATTGGAACACTATTTTGCACATAGTAGGGATAAAACATGTAATCCAATAAAGGGTATTTGGGGAATGAGCAACTCTCAATTATTGTGACATTAGGAATAGCAAGACGGATGGTCTCTTTGGTAGAGTTGATTTCGTGGACGAGGTATTTTAGAGAATCGATGTATATTGAGGTGGTATTGTTTTCGCATAAAAGTTCGAATTGGGGATGACCGCAGCGTTTTGGATCAGTCATGAGCCTGAAAGGATAGCTAATATTGGGAATTTCGCCACATGAAGAAGGGGTGCAGTTGATTTGGTTTCCATGGGATTTTTGGGTGAAATATAATTGGGTGGTGATGAAGAAATAAATGAATTTGAGGAGGATGCTTTGGCAGAGGATATACATCTATGTGTATGAATATTTGGTGATCAATTTGAAGAACTATAGCTAAGTTTGGGGATATGATTAATTAGATGGAAGAGATGAGAGAAGAGTGTAGTAATGTGTGAATGGAGTTTGTTTTTTCGTTAAGAATAATTGAGCAAATAGTGAATTCACCACAACTAGGAGGAAATGCAGTCAACTCAACTTGTATGGAGGAAAATTCAAGTCCACCAACTACTTGCAGAGGAAATGATTGATGTCACATTTTCTAAAGAATTAATATACTTGTTTGAAGAAACTATTGGAGCAATAAAAAGATT